TCTTTAGAATTGATAGGTTTGTTCTCCTTGCAGTTCAGGGGACTCTCTAGAGTCTCCTCCAGCACCACAGTTCAAAAGCATCAATTCTTCAGCATCCACTCTCCACTATGACCTGTCCGTCTTGGGTGTCCCTCCACGGCATAGCCCATAGCTTCTCTGAATTACTCAGGCCCCTTCACCACAACAAGGCAGCAAACTATGAAGGGGCTTGTTTGTTTTACCATGCTATATCTATAGTGTTCACTATTATCCAAGGTTTTCAGTATCTGCTTGGGACTTGGAACCAATCCTGAGTGGATGGGTGTGTGTGTGCCCTACTGTACTTGACTACATTCCAAACATACAGTGGTGCCTCGTATAGCGATGAAATCACTTTGCGATGGACTTTTTGCCATCGCAAAAGCGATCACTTTGCGATGGTCCCTATGGGGAAATTTCGCTTTTTCATTTTTTTCCCAACATCACTAAGCAAGGCACCACTGTATTTCTCTAATTTTTCTCCTTTGGGTATTCCAAATAAAATATATTATTTTTCCAATTAGATCTTAATATTAATCAATCAGTTGTGGGGTTTTTTTGTGTTTTTTTGGTGGTAGGATTGACTTTCTGCTTAATCTTCTAAGGTTCTTTTGTATTTTTGGCCTCAATCACTTGACTTGTCTGTTTCTCAATAGGCAGCTTCATTTTTTTCCGTCTCGCATATATCACTCATTTCTGTTTTTTTGCTTCAGCAGGGGATCTGTGGAAGAGCACAGTTGAAGAGGAAGCCCATCAGGTATTGGAAGAGAGCGATCAATATTCAGACGTGGAAAAGGATGTTGCGAATCAAGACAGAGTGAAGAAGCCGAAAGGAAAACAAATATTTGAAGAGGACATTGGGTCGGTTGATGGTATAGACACTGATTTCGATGAAATTCCAGGTCATAAACAATTAAGAAAAGGTGATAGACAGAATGAGTGTTCTGCATATGTAGAAAACCATCATGGTACCTCAAGTGTTATGACCCAAACTGGAGAAAAACCCAAGCCATTTATGTGTCAAGAATGCGGGAAGAGCTTCAGTAGAACCTCGGAACTGAATAGACACAAAGAATGCGGGAAGAGCTTCAGTAGAACCTCAGAACTGAATAGACACAAAAGAATCCACACGGGAGAGAAACCCTTTAAATGCCTGGAGTGTGGAAAGGGCTTCAGTCAGAGCAGAAACCTCACTTCCCATCAAAGGAGCCACACAGGGGAGAAACCATATAAATGCCTAGAGTGTGGGAAATGCTTCAGCAATAGCGGAATTCTTACCACCCATCAAAGGAGCCACACAGGCGAGAAACCCTATAAATGCCTAGAATGTGGGAAGTGCTTCAGTCAGAGCGGAATTCTTACTGCCCACCAAGGAATGCATTCAGGGCAGAAACCCTTCAAATGCCTGGAGTGTGGGAAGAGATTTCGCCAGCTCATCCACCTTACCTCCCACGAAAGAATCCATACGGGAGAGAAACCCTTCAAATGCCAGGAGTGTGGGAAGAGTTTTCGTCAGCACATCCACCTTACCTCCCATAAAAGAACACATACAGGGGAGAAACCCTTTAAATGCCAGGAATGTGGAAAGAGTTTCAGCCAGAGCTCACATCTTATCAGGCATGAAAGGACCCACACTGGAGAGAGACCCTTTAAATGCTTATTGTGTGAAAAGAACTTCGGGCACAGCTCCGAACTTGTTAGGCACGAAAGAACCCATACGGGAGAGAAACCCTTTAAATGTCCCGAATGTGAAAAGAGCTTTAGTCGGAGCTCCGAGCTTATTCGGCACAAAAGGATCCACACAGGAGAGAAACCCTTTAAATGCTTGGAGTGTGATAAAAGCTTCATCGATAGTACAAACCTCATTAGACATCAGATAAGCCACACGGGGGAGAAACCATATAAATGCAGTGAGTGTGGGAAATGTTTCAGTCAGAGCCGAAGTCTTATGGCACATCAAAGGACCCACACAGGAGAGAAGCCCTTTAAATGCCTGGAGTGTGGGAAATGTTTTAGTCAGAGTGGAATTCTTACCGCCCACCAAGGAATGCATACGGGGCAAAAACCCTTTAAATGCCTAGAGTGCGGGAAGCGTTTCCGTCAGCACATCCACCTCACTTCCCACAAGCGAATCCACACAGGAGAGAAACCCTTTAAGTGCCTGGAGTGTGGAAGGAATTTCCGTCAGCACATCCACCTCACTTCCCACAAGAGAATCCACACGGGAGAAAAACCCTTTAAATGCCTGGAGTGTGGAAAAAGTTTTAGCCATAACTCGATCCTCATTTCTCATGTAAGAACCCACACGGGAGACAAACCCTTTAAATGTCTGGAGTGTGGGAAGTGTTTTACCTGGAGCACGCTCCTTATTAGACACGAAAGGACCCACACAGGAGAGAAACCCTTTAAATGCCAGGAATGTGGGAAGGGCTTCAGCGAGGCCTCCCTGCTTAATAAACACCAGAGACGTCACACCGGGGAGAAGCCATTCAAATGCTTTGAATGTGGAAAGGGGTTTTTTTCAAGCACACTTCTTATTCGGCATCAAAGAATCCACACCAGGGAGACCCCGTTTAATGCCTGGTGTGTGCAAAACACCTCCGTTGAAACTCAGGACGTGTTAGATGTAAAAGAATTCACAGAGGGGAATAAAGTCATAAAATAAGAGAACATTAGTATTCTTGTAGGAAAAGAAAAGTGGGTTGCTTCGCATTGCTTTGATGCGGTGAAGTGACCCTGCTTAAAATCTGGAATGGACCGTAACAAAATAAAGGGCCATTCAGACATCAGCGGTCTTTTTGCCCACAAAGTTATATCTTTTTCCAGGTGCTGCAAACTTTTTCTTGAAGTTCTATAATCATCATATGCTGTCAAGTCACTTTTGACTTAACGGCAACCCTTTCTAGGGTTTTCATAAGGTAGAGAATACACAGGAGTTTCTTATTCCTTTCTTTGTGGACTGTGCACAGTTTGCCCAAGGGCACATAGGCTGGCTCTAGTTGCAGGAGGCACCACAAGGAATCGAATTCCCAACCTCTGGTGTGCTGCAAACTTTTTCTTGAAGTTCTATAATCATCATCATGTGCTGTCAAGTCACTTCTGACTTACGGCAACCCTTTCTAGGGTTTTCATAAGGTAAAGAATACACAGGAGTTTCTTATTCCCTTCTTTGTAGACTGTGTACAGTTTGCCCAAGGCCACATAGGCTGGCTCTACTTGCAGGAGGCACCACAAGGAATTGAATTCCCAACCTCTGACTCCGTAACCAGATACAGTGGTGCCTCGCTTAACGATTGCCTCCCTTAATGAGGAAATTGCTTGACAATTAGGTTTTTGCGATTGCAAAAGCGATCGCAAAACAATGGTTTAAATGGGAAAAATCCGCTTCACGATGATTGGTTCCCTGCCTCGGGAACCGATTTTTGCATTACGACGATCTAAAAACAGCTGATCGTCGGGTTTCAAAATGGCCACTGGGTGTACAGAACGGCTCCCCACTGTGTTTAGGAGACATTTTTTGCTATACAGGCAACCGAAAATGGCCGCCCCTATGGAGGATCTTCGCTGGACGGTGAGTTTTCAGCCCATTGGAATGCATTGAACGGGTTTCAGTGCATTTTAATGGGCTTTTTTATTTCACTTTACCATGTTTTCGCTCTACAGCGATTTCACTGGAACGAATTAACATCTTCAAGCGAGGCACCACTGTACCAAACTCACTGAGCTATCCAGCCACCTATAATAATCCTCCTATGCCATCAAATCAATTCTGACTTATGGCAACCCTTTCCAGAAGTGCTTTCCCATTCCTTTCTTCTGGGGCAACCTAGGACCGTACAACTTGCCCAAGGCCACATAGGCTGGCTCTACTTGCGGCATGCACTGCAGGGAATCAGACTCCTAACCCCTGGCTCACAGACAAAGACCTAAACCCCTGAGCTATCCAAACAGCTTCAACTGAAGATCTATAGTGGTGTAAAGAAATTCTGCTAAGCTGTATTTGTCAATAAATAGGCCTATGTTTTCTGCGAAGTAAATTAAGAACCAATGTTTTCACACTAGGTGTGTAGTTGAAGAGGAAATTGCTTGTGGTCATTCTTGTATGGAATCCTCCTTGTATGGAATTCACAACATTGATCTCTCTTATCTCTCTAATGGCTTTTTTCTCCCTTCCCCCATTTTTAACATATTTTGCAACACAACATACAGTCTTTGAGGGACTGGTTGCTCTTCATATCTAAGAGGGCATTACGGACGAAGGGACGGATCAGTCTGTGCAGGATCCATGGCGGAAGTCCTCCGGGGTCATCCTCAAGACTATCAGTTTTATGATGTTATTCTTGTGGTCAAGTTACTTCCTTATGAATGAGTGGCCTCCCAAATATCCTACCGTTAACAACCTTGCTCAGATCTTGCAAACTCAAGTTTAATTTTAGCATGAGCTTCTGTAAGCAAGGGCTAACTTGGATCTAGTGACTAAAGGTATTGCAGACTTGAATCCTAAGCAACAGATGCTTGGTTGGACATACTTGTACTTAATCAGTGCTGAAGAAGGTGCTAAGGAACATATACCATATGGCAAAAAGAATTTGGAGAACAGAAATTGTCTTGTGGCTTCTGCGTTATGGAAGGCTTAGGAAACACAGAGGCACAAATGTTGCTTTTCCTGTCCAGAAACAAACATGGTGAACACCTGACTCTACAGCTAAGTCAAATGCCACCTAGTGACTGAACTGTGTAATGGCATTATCCACCCACGAAATATTTATGTGTTCACCCACAGAGAAAAGGGATTGTTTTGATAAATACTGGGACATCTGCTGACATATTTTTAGTTGTACATTCTGTCACTTCTGTAATTTAAACAGTTCTCCCTTTTAAATGCTTCTTTTCTCAGAGCACAGAGGCCAGGATTTGAGGGGATTCGGCTTTCTGATTGGTTCCCTTGGCCTGTAGAGTTGACTCATATTGAGCGCCACCCAGTCCCAGCCCAAACCATTATCATCTTGAAAGGGATAACAGAGGGAAAAATCATGCTGTAGCTGCTTCCAGCCAAAATACAGTATTTTCTCTCTCTTTGAAAATATTTGCATACAAGAGGAGTCAGCCCAGGACAAGAGAGAAAGCCTCCTCAGTAACCGCGGTCAAGACTGTGGAATATCTTACCCCAAAAGATCCACTTAGCCCCCCCCCTTTTCCCTGTATTTTAATAATCATGTATTATCAAAGAGTGCTGCTTATATACCGCTTCATAGTGCTTAAAGCACTCTGGGTGGTTTACAGTTTAATTATGCAGGCTGGACAATGCATCCTCTCACACCCACACAAGCTGGGCACTCAAGTAACCGACCTTGGAAGGCTGGAAGGCTGAATGAATTTGAGCGAGTGACCTGGGATAGAAACCTGGGGCATAAGCAGAGTTTTAGCTGCAGTTCTGCAGTTTAACCACTGTGCCACGAGACTCCTTAGTCAAGTCAATTTTGGCATACGGTAACCCTTTGCAGGGTTTTGAAGGTAGAAAATACTCAGAAATGGTTTCCCATTCTCGTTTTCTGTGTTCTGCCTGGGACTGTGCAGCTTGCCCAAGGCCACATAGGCTGGCTCTATTCGCAGGAGGCCCAGTGGGGGAATCGAACTCCCAACCTTTGGCTCCACAGGCAGAAACCTAAACCACTGAACTATCTTGCCAGCTACCAAAATGTTCCTCTTTCACAAAGCATTTCTCCAATTCAAGGAGATGATGTTTATGTTGTGCTAGGACCCATAAATGTTTTTATCTGCTGAGTCTGTTTGCATTTCTATATTCCTTGATTTGTTTTATGGGATAGTTTTTCTTACCATTTATTTTAAGGCAGTGTTAGTTGCATTGGAAAGGCAGGATGTAATTTTTTAAAATATACAACCCTTTAAAATACAGAGAAATGCATAGAAAGGAATATATAAAAGACTGCTTTGAGGCAGAATGCTGTACCAGAAAAACTATATTTTGTTTGACTGGAAGAGCACAGATTGAAAGGGTACAGCTAGATTTGATATATTTTATTGTTTTTCTCTCATTTTTCAGACCTACGTTGTCACATCACAAAGAGAGAAGGATGTTCAAGCTTCCCATTCATTGTTGTTTCTTCTACTTTAACTCCCAGAATTCCCTGGGCAGAATTCTGGGAGTTCCAGCCCACAGAAACCTGTATTTCACTCACCTGGAACAGGGCCTCTCTTCCAGACTGGCTTACTTGATGTTTCTGTTGTTAAAAGTACAAAAAAGCAACAGCCCTAGTATTTCTTGAGCGGCATAGGTCTCTGTGGGTGAGGTAGTTTTACCTCTAATACCTGAATTCTGGGAGTCCACAGACTCACACCGACATTTTCAGTCACCTGAAACAAGGCCTAATTTCCTGGCTCCTTGGCTATCTCAGGTCTACTTGGGCCTAATGTTGTCATGGTGTTTAAGGCCTAGGTCTTCATGGGAAGTGTAGTCTCCTTGCCTATTATGATCTAATAAGCAAGGAGACTACACTTCCCATGAAGACCTAGGCCTTAAACACCATGACAACAGTTGGCCCAAGTAGTGCTGAGATAGCCAAGGAGCCTGGAAGTTAGGCCTTGTTTCAGGTGACTGAAAATGTCGGTGTGGGCCTGTGGGCTCCCAGAATTCAGTCTGGAGGATCCTTGGAGTTGAGAGTTCAAAACAAAACAAACGAATAAGCAGCTCCAAACAGCACACCCCAGTTCAGCCTCTAAAACTGAAAAGACAGGCAATAGAAAGGAAGAGTGGACCAGAAAGTTAAGAGATGGGGTAGATGTTTTACAGTGCCTTCATTGAGGATTTTTAAGAGCTGGATGAGATCCTGTGGTTTATCTTGTCCACACACCCCCCAAGAAGTCTGCATCTGCATATTCCTTCCAGCCTGTTTAAAAACCCAACAAAGGAGAGCCCAACCACCACCTGAGGTAATCCTGTTATAACACCTTGATGGTGGAAGATCTTGTCTGTCAAGAGTTATACATCTTGCCTCCCTATGTTCTGTCACAGATATTCTATGGGGTACGCCATGAGTAGAGAACCTGTGGCCCTCTCTCAGATGGGTTACCATTCCCACAATCTACTTTGGTTTTTGGACATCCTGGCTGGACCTGGTGGGAGTCGGAGTCCCCCAATGTCACAAGTTCACCCTGAAGAGTAAATGACCCATTTTCAGGATATGTTATGGGTGAATGTGTTTGGATGAACGGATGTGTCTTCCTTATAATGTGGGCATCTTAGCATTCCTTTTTCTCTCTCTTGCTGAGTTGCTGAATAAATCTTCCAGAATTTGTATTTAATGTGTGCTTGGACCAATAATGCTGCTGCGTCTTTTGTCATTTGGTGTGGCCACCCAGCGGCTTCCCTCTAAGCCAGCAGTTCCCAACTTCTTCTTATGTCAGAGCTGAAGATATAAAAAATTGGAAAAATTAACAAAATACAGGGATCTGGCAAAAAAAACAACAACTTTTTTCTAGATGAAACATTTCAGTGGTCCCCATAGTCATTGAGGGATTGGGAACAATGATGCAGAATTTCATAAAATATAAACACCTTCAGATCTATGAAATAACACTATCAGAACCGCAAAAACCCACAATAGGAACAGCATACATATTTCTCTCATATCTGATGCTTGAGTTTTTTGTTAAACTTGTATCTGTTCTATAATAGAGTAGGACCCCCTTATCTACGGGACCAGTATCTACTGATTCACTTGCCGACAGGCAGAAAACATTAAAAGAAAAATCCCCAATATACTACAGTGGTGCCTCGCTTGATGATGATAATCCGTTCCAGCAAAATCGCTGTACAACGAAATCGTCGTCAAGTGAAATAAAAAAACCCATTGCAATGCATTGAAAACTGGTCAATGCGTTCCAATGAGGGAAATACCTGCTCATGCAGCGAAAATCTTCCATACAGTGGCCAATTTGCAATCCCTGTCTAGTGAGGAATCCGTCCTTAACACAGTGGGGAGTCATTTTGAGAGCCGCCGATCAGCTGTTTTTAGATAATCGTTTAGTGAAAAATCGGTTCCTGAAGCAGGGAACCGATCTTGAAGTGAAATTCCCCCATTTAAACATCATTTTGTGATCGCAAAAACCTCATCGTTAAGTGGATTCGTCGTGGAGTGGGGTAATCGTTAAGCGGGGCACGACTCTGTGTGTGTGTGTGTGTGTGTGTATGTATACAGTGGTGCCTCGCATTACAACGTTAATTCGTTCCAGCGAAATCACTGTAGAACGAAAACGTAATGCGAAATAAAGCCTGTATAAACATATTAAAACCCAATTAACGCGTTCCTATGGGCTTGAAACTCACCGTCCAGCGAAGATCCTCCATAGCACGGCCATTTTTGCTGCCCGTGCAGCGAGGAATCCGTCCCAGAAAAGAGCGGGGAGCCATTTTTTTTACCCAGCGGTCATTTTGAAACCGCCGATCAGCTGGCCAAAAATCGTCGTTTTGTGAGAATCGGTTCCTGAAGCAGGGAACCGATCACCGCAAAGCAAAATTCTCCCATAGGAAACATCGTTTTGCGATCGCAAGAAGTTCTTCGTAATGTGATTTTGTCATTAAACGGGGCGCTCATCTTGCGAGGCACCACTGTACTGTATATATATTTAACAGCAACGTTGTTAGAAATGGCCAGCAGAGGGAGCCAGAGACCATGCTATGTATAGTGGTCACTAACAAAATATATTTCCATGATGTAATTACCAGAAATGGCCCTGAGACGGAGCCAGAGACGAGAGACTGTCAACCGGCGGCGCCCCGTGGGGCGGCCAGGCAGGCGGCTGCGGCTGCTCGGCCCGTCGCCTTCTGCCCTGAGCTCCGTGGAGCGTGGCTCGGCTCCCCCGGGAGGATCGGGGCGGAGGGGCCCCGACAGGAGCGGCCAAGCCCTCCCCCCCCTCCGGCTCCACCCGCGGGGGCCCCCCCCGGGGGGGGGGGGGGGGCGCTGGTGGTGTAGGCGGGAAAAAGAGTCAGAGTCAAACGGATCCTGTAACAAACGGTCGTCTAACAAATGGTACCTCCTCGCGCGCACATCAGAGGGCACTTCGTGGTCACCTAGTAAGGGGCCGGTCCGAACCTCTCTCAGTCGGTCATTGGGCGGAGGGGGGCACTCCAAATGGCACAGACCGTTCCGCAGCAAGGGTGCCTCGCCCAGTCCCCCTCCAGGGGCTTCTTCTGGTATTCGGGTCCAGGGCGTATTACCCTCCTCCCACCAGGATAATTGCGATGGTGCACCGTCACCAGCCATTCCAAAGGCTCATAAGACTTCTCCGACCCTCGGGGAAAGTTCGGATCTGGCAACAAACCTCCTCCAGTAGCCAGATTGGGAAAACCGGCCGCAACTCCTACGGGAGTCTCGAATCCAAGCATGGGTTCAGTCTGGACCCCTCGATTCTTACTCCTCTCTATGTTTGCATCGGTGCAGATTCTAAAAGCCCGCGTGTTTTCTCCTCCTTTTATCTCCTCCCAGACTATTAAATCTAGCTCCTCCCCTCCTTCCTCTACCAGGCACACCTCCGTGGGTTTTACTGGCACTACTTCAGTCTGTTCAATGTCAATCAGTATTCCTACTGCGCATTCGGCCTCTTCTACAGTATGGCTTTCCATGGAGGACGGCGCACTCCTCTTTTCTCCTTCACAATCGTCAAGGAGTCACAGTGGGGGATTCCAACTCCCAACCTCTGGCTCTACAGCAAGATGCCTAAACCACTGAGCTATCTAGAAGTTTTTTTAAAAAGTAATGCCTCTTTTATCTCTTACTCATTGCTCTGTTAAAAAAGAAAGAAAGAAAAAAGGTCCCATGATATGGAAGTTTCCACTTTTCCCAAGAAATATTTTTTCATTAGAAATATTTAAACAGAAATTAGACAACTGGTAGTCAGGGATGCTGTACTGTACCTCTGGATTTTCTCCTTTGACAAGGTCCTGGATCCAGAGAAACAGGAAGGGCAGGAAGGGAGCGGAAGTATTTTGGAGGGTGGGAAGTTATCATATCAGATTTATTTGTATGCCACCTTGTAATGATCCTGCCATGCTCAAGGTGGCTTACAGCAACAGCAGGAGAAAATATAAACACACGTATCAGAATATTTTTTTAAAAAATTCCTGTTAATTCAGTCAGAGTTACAACCCCAAATGTAAACATACAAACATCTCACAATTAATAAATAGGCAGCAGCCATAAATAGACAGTTGAGATTAAACAGCTCTCGAACAATTTACAAGCAAGTCTAACCAAAGAGAGAGATACCAAAAACAAATATCCGGATAGCAGCAAAACCACACGTTGTCCAAAAGTGAAACATGGATCCCGCTGACAAAATGTGTTTATCCCTTCACTGTGGAATTTAGAAAGGAAGTGGGGTATAAGGGTTAAAGGGTTGGATCATGACTCAGAAGCTGGGGGTTCAAATCCCCCTTGGGCGTGAAGCCCACCGGGCGGCCTCAAACCAGTCCCAAGGTCCCTGCTTGACCTACCCTATAGGGACATTGCGGAGATTAAAAGTGGGGCCGAAGAGGAGCAGGAAGGTCATGGACCTCTCCTTGAGCTCACTACAAGTTATAAGCAAACAACCAGGGTCCCGTTCCCCTGGGGAGGTGGAAATGGGTCAGACAAACACAAAAGCACAACGATCCCCCTCCCTTCATTTTACGTTGAAAGTCTTTAGGCAGTGGTTCCCAACCTTGGGTCTCCAGAGGAGCTTGGACTAAAACTCCCAAAAGCCTTCACTGCTAGCCAGAATTTCTGGGAGTTGTAGTCCAAGAAAATCCAGGTTATGCAAGGTTGGGAAACACTGCTTTCGGGGAAAGGATTGCTAAACAGAACATTAAAACTACACTGGATATGGGATCTATAATCTTATCTTAGAGGAGAACAAGACATCTTATAAACCTTTTAATAGCCCTCGGCTGAGAAGCCCGGTTCCAACAGCTGGCAGAGCAGGCTTCGCCTTACTTTTTTATTTATTTTATTTATTTATTAGACTTTTATCCCTCCCTTCTAGATGATGTCTACTCGTTTGATTAAACCGCAAAGGAGATTCTGATCCCTACTTTAGAAGAAAATCTTCATCCAAATTGTAAAAGGCAAAGTTCGGGCAATGTTCCTTCAACCTGAGAATCCTTTATCAGTCCCTTAAACAAACAATATGGGCTCACAGCCTCTTCTGTGTATATTAGGAAATCTGCTGAATGCTCCTCTTTCTTGGGTTCATGGGTAAGGATCCTTCCTTAAGATATGCACAGCACGGAATCCCACAATTTCCACCCAGAGGACAAAGCTGCACACCCCTGTTGCAAAATTCAGCCACAATATATATGAGGGAATGTGGTGTTAACTACATCATCACCTTGTGCAACTAAGTCAATTCTGATTTATGGCAACCCCTTTCAGGGGTTTCCAGTACTCAGAAGTGGTTTCCCCTTCCCATCTTCGCCCCTCCTCATTTGGGTTTTTAACCTTTTCTTTGTAACCCAAGAAATGGAGAGCGGGAAGGGACTCTATGGTTGATCAAGTCCAGCCCCTGTCAAGGAGGCTCCGTGGGGAATCGAACTCCCAACCTCTGGCTCGGCAACCAGATACCTAAACCACTGATCTATCCAGCTCCTGCTATATTTACCCATCTTAAATCTTCCTTATTTTACTTCGCTCCAATGCTTAGATGACATTCTCTTTGGGAAAATGAGCCCCCCCACCCCATTCCGGTCCTGTGGAAATTGCCTTCATCTCCCAGATTCCAAACTTCAAGGGGCGAGGGTTGCATCTGGAGAATTGGTGGGGTCGCCCTCCCCACTGCTGCATAGGTCTCCGATTTTCCTTTTCTTCTCTGTTTCACCTACTCTGTTGTAATACTCATTTTGAGCCGCTCAAGGCTTTCCTTCTTGGCTAGCTACTATCCCACACAGTTGAGTCCTCCTTACCGGACAGTCTGAGCGGAGCAGCTTGCCCAACTGGCGATTTTGGGGGGGTGGCGGCGTATTTTCAAGCCACAAATTATCAAGTTATCTCCTAAATGCCATGTTACTTGTACAGAGGTGGTGCAGTTTTGACTTCATAAGGAGCAGCCCTGGGAGATTCGAACCAGAAAGAGAAGGTGAGATGATGACAAGGGCTACGTGAACATTAAAGCTGGAACAGGTGAAATCTCTAGGGAAGTGGATATGGAGGAATGGAGATTTGCAGTAATTCTCTGAACTTACTTTTTTGTGACATCCCTACTGCATTACAAAATCAAGGTCCTTGAAAACTGCTTCTCTAGGCTTCTTAGGAAACAAATCCTTTTAAATCCTTCCCTCTCTACAGCTTTGCCTCCACCTTTCCCTCTGTTTTTAAAGCCCGTGATGGGCTTTTAAACTGTGAATCTCTGACCGCTGCACAACAAAGTCTGTTTTAAATAATACAAGCTTCCCAAGGAGAGGGGGAAAAATCATGGAAGTCACAGATGTTTCCAAACTAGTTGTTTTGGTGCTGTTATGTAAACTAGCTCCCGAACTGTGGTTTTCACACGTACAAAAGCATTTTTCATTTTTAAGGTAACCCCTCTCCATCCCATAAACACAACATTTTCAGATAGGATGAGGGAAGGGGCAAAGTACAGACCTGATTGAATTCTGCCCCACATCATCTTCTTAGGGCAAAAACTAACCAAAGAAGAACAAAATGTCTACGAATTCTGAAAAGTGATTGGAAATCACTTCTAGGTCTTTTTAAAGGGGTCTCCCGCACCTAAATCAACTCATGGGATTTGGGAGGGGGGGAATGGACAAATAAATGAGAAAATTGTCATTGATGGACATTAGAGGGTGCAAGGAACTTGCCTGAATAAAGACATAAGAACTTTCTGGGGTACGGTGGGGACCAAGCGGAAACGGGGCTGGCAGTGGCCCACTGGCTACACCTCGCCAACCCTGCCTTAGGTAATGGTTAGAATGAAGACAAAACACACAGGTCATTGTGTAGAAACAGCACCATCAATAGCATCAATCTACCTTCGATAAACAACAGCTTTAAAAAAAATGCCAACCTGCCACAACGGAGTGGTTAAAGAGAAATACAGATACAATGTACAGCACATCTTTAATTTAACAGCTTTTTTAAAAAAAATTAATTTTACAGCCATTTCCAATGGCTAGTTGATGGGTTCAGATAAATGATACTAGTAGTCACTCAAAACAGTGAACTAAAAGTCTCACCAGCAGGATCCTTCCCTTTAAGCTAAGAAAAATGATTGAGTATCACATTCAACAATGGCCTAACACAATTTTTAATGTAATTTCTCAAGAAGAGTACTGTTTTAACGACAGGTGTCATGAGACAGTTTCAGCTGCTTTAGAAATACCTCCGTGGAAAGTCCTTTTGGTACATTCATCATCCGCTTATCGCTGCTTCTAATTTAAAGGCTCTCTTTCTAAAGTGGAAATCATGTGGCACAGACCCACTGGCACTCAACATGATAACATAAGCTAAGCAACAGTGGGCAATTGAGTTTATGATGGACAGGCACAGTGACGGAGGGCGCAACCCCTAAGGCCTCCATTCCAATCACATCCTGTTTGTGGAAAAGGCCTCGTAAGGATCTAAATCTGGCCGTGGAGGCAAATTGGGTTTACCGGGCAAACTGCATGAGGCTTCTAGGGGAAGTGACCTGTGACTCCGGAGTGAAAAAGTACATTGAGGGATCAGGGGGGCAGGGTTGCTGGAGGGGGCTCTCCACAGTCTGTGGAAAGGGGAAAGGGTCCCTCGGAACCCCCGAAGTAGCCCACCTCTGGCTCGTGGCTTTGTTCTGGTGACAACTGAGGCTTGTGCTGTGACCAAAACACCTTCCACATTCCAGGCATTTCACAGCCTTTCCCCCGGTGTGGACTTTTTGATGGGAGATGAGGCTTCTATTCTGACTGAAGCCCTTTCCGCACTCCAGGCATTTATAGGGTTTCTCCCCGGTATGAAATCTCCGGTGGACAGTCAGGTTTCCTGGTCGACTGAAGCTCTTCCCGCACTCCAGGCATTTAAAGGGTTTCTCCTCCGTATGGACTCTTTGATGGTAGGTCAGATTCCTGCTCTGACTGAAGCTCTTTCCACACTCCAGGCAGGTGTACGGTTTCTCCCCTGTGTGGATTCTCTCATGGGAGACAAGGGAATCTTTCTTGACAAAGGTTTTTCCGCACTCCAAACATTTATATGGTTTCTCCCCCGTGTGGCGTCTCCGGTGAACCGCCAGGTTTTGATGTCTACGGAAACTCTTCCCGCACATCTGGCATTTATAAGGTTTCTCCCCTGTGTGGATTCTTTTGTGGGTTGAAAGGTGTGAATGTTGGCTGAAGTTTTTCCCACACTCCAGACATTTGAATGGTCTCTCCCCAGTGTGTTTCCTTTGGTGGCGGGCAAGGCCTGCCTTCTGAACGAAACATTTCCCGCACTCCAGACATTTGAAAGATTTCTGCTCTCGATCGAAGGGAAGACTTGGGCTCCCGGGGACGCTTTCGTCGTACTCCAGGCACTCAAAGGGTTTCTCCATTATGTAGATATTCCAACAGTTCTCAGGGACCGAAAGATTAAATGCATCCTCAGCTGAAAGGGAGACCAAAATGGAAGTGAATGCAAGGAAGAATTGGATTCTCAACCAAGAATTGAATCAAAAGAAGAACTGAGAAGAAAGCCAGAATACCAAAGCTAGCCATGACTGGAAATGCCTTCCAAGACTTCAGAGAGAGGTTGATCCTGTCATAAAGTACTCAACCAATTGGCTGGTTTTTCAAACACCCCTCCTCCATTTTGGTCTGCTTTCTTAAAGGGGAAAAATATTTAATTTTGTTTTTCAATGAACACCTATACAAATCCTCATGAGTGGATCCTAGATCAAATCAAGCTAGAAATATTTCCAGAAGCAGAAAGAACAAAACTGAGGCTGTCCCTCTTGGGGCACTTCAAGCGAGGAAAAGAGAAAACAAAACTGAGGCTGTCCCTCTTGGGGCACCTCAAGCGAGAACAAGACTCTCTGGAAAAGAGAATAATGCTAGGAAATGTGGGAGGCAGCAGGAACAGAGGAAGACCAAATGTGTGATGGATTAACTCAACACACTTCCCTTGAGTTTACAAAATCTAATCAGGTGTGCTAAGGTAAAGGCCGATAAGGTCGCTCATTCATAGGACTGCTGTATGTCCGAAGTGAATTGATGACATACAACAAGAAGCATTTAAGGAAATGTGGGAGGCAGCAGGAACAGAGGAAGACCAAATGTGTGATGGATTAACACAATACACTTCCCTTGAGTTTACAAAACCTAATCAGGTCTGCTAAGGTAAAGGCCGATAAGGTCACTCATTCATAGGACTGCTGTATGTCAGAAGTGAATTGATGGCATATAACAAGAAGCATTTATTGTACTACATAAATGTCCATGTTCACATTCCAGTACTTCTAAGAAATGCTGTTCCCCCAAAATTAGGGATTCCGGGAAGAATTTAGACGCAATATTGTGAGAAGCTATTCTTACGCAACCTTGCTGAAAAAAGTGAATACAAAGCTAAACAAAGAAAAATAAATCACCACCATCATCAAAATAATAATGTGTTGTCAAGTCATTTCTGACCCTTTCTAGGGTTCTCCAGGTAGAGAGTACTCAGAAGTAATTTTCCCTCCTTCTTGGGACTACCTGGGGCTGTGCAGCTTGCTCAAGGCCACATAGGCTGGCTCTTCCTTCAAGAGGCCTAGTGGGGGAATCAAATTCCCAATCTCTGGCATTGCTGTCAGATCCCTAAACCACTGAATTATCCAGCCAACATACAAAAGGAAAAGATATAATCCAAAGGGGGAGCCTCTATCATGTTTTAAACCTCACCTGTTGTGATTTTTTTAAAGTGGATTTTGAGATCTGTGGGGTGTTTTCTGGCCCCAGTGAGAATTTTAATGAATCGTGGGGTTCACTAAAGCCCTCATACCAAAAACTTCTGTCAAACAGCCCTAAATCCAGTTACTGCACCTCATCAGAGAGAAAACATGGAATCTATGGGATTTATAGAAGTGTCGACTTATCATTTGTTAATTGATTTACGGGGTCTGCTCTGATTGGAAATGGTAAACGGATATAGGTCTTTTAAGCTACAGCCAAGTTTTAACTTATGTCTCAAATATAGCATCTGTTGGCCTCTTACAACAGTTTTAATTCTTCTTTATTCATCTTCTTCTTTATTTTGTTCAACCTCTATGGACCTACCTATCAAATTTTCCGGGGTCATTAGCTCTTCTTTCTTTTCTTCAAGCCAACAGCTGACATCAAATTTGGGCATCGGAGGTCCCCCTTAAAGGAAGAACAAAAAAACCAGAACTGTTAGGCATGACCTTTCTGACTGTAAAAATTATTGCATGATCCCAAACTACAATTCCTGCATCTCCTTTTGCTTCTCATTCCAGCAGATAAGCAAGATGTTTTCAAAGATGAAATCACAAGATGGAGAAAACAAATGATGAATCTGGTGACTATCTCCAATGCCCAATTCAAATTACAGTGGTGCCTTGCAAGACAGGCGCTCCGTTTAATGATGAATTCGCATGACGATGAGGTTTTTGTGATCGCAAAAGCGATCACAAAACAACGTTTTGAATGGGGGAATTTCGCTGTGCGATGATCGGTTCCCTGTTTCGGGAACTGATTTTCGCTTCCCAACTATCAAAACAGCTGATTGTCGGGTTTTCAAAATGGCCGCTGGGTGCTCAAAATGGCTCCCCGCTGTGTTTGGGAGCCATTTTTCGCTGCACAGGCACCCGAAAATGGCCGGCCCTGTGAAGGAATTTCGCTGGATGGTGATTTCTTATCCGATTGGAATGCATTAACCAGGTTTTAATGCGTTTCAATGGCTTTTTTATTTTCGTTTTACGACGTTTTCGTTCTACAGCAATTTCGCTGGAACGAATTAACGTCATAATGCGAGGCACCACTGTATTAATATTGACTTATCACGCTCTTAACAGTCTGGGACTTTGTTACTTGTCGGAGCCCCTCTCCCTGAGACTGCCCGCCCCTGCCTCCTGCTTCTCCTATGCTTAGATGCTGCAGGAGGCCACCCCAAAGGAGACCCAGAAATTTATGATCAGGAATGGGACCTTCTCGGTGGTAGCTGCTACTCTGTGGAATGACCTGCTGCAAGGAAGGGAAGGCTCAGCTCAGATTCCACCATCCCACCAGGTCCAAGGAAAAGCTAGAGGGCTAAAGAGTCTCAGCAAAGGGACCCTTAATCTTTGCCAAGGCTGAATAAGGACATGACACAGAGAGGGGAAGGCTTAGCCAGAATCAGGTGCATCGTACTGGCTGGTAAGAGGCAAAAATGAAAGGAAGATAAAAAGCTGATAGCCACACTCAAGAAAAGTGATCCTTACCCAGAGAGGCCACATTCTCATAATTCTCCAGCAGGACTTCCTTGTACAGAGCCTTTTGGTTCGGATCCAGCGACGACCACTCCTCCTTGGTAAAATGTATGGCCACCTCCTCAAAGGTCACTGGAAGCTGAAAGATCATGCATTTCTGATTTTTTAAAAAGAAGTAATTAGAATATCTTCTCTTTACAACCAGATTTCTTTTTCACCCTCTTTTACCACACAGGAAAAGGCACTCTTTGCCCCCCCTTCACAGCCAGGTTGGGTTCTCTCCTCTACGGAGAACAGAACAAACACACAGCCAAGTGGTCTCTCATCAGGGTCAGATAAACTTCCAGGTCACTAAGTGGTGGGTTTCGCTGCTTAGCACAGTAAAGAGGGTTTCTGTGAAGGAGGTAGGCCTGGGAAAGAGGGTCGCTCCTCCCACTGGACATGAATTCCTGGGTGATGTGAGCAGGAGGAATAACCCTATGCTAGTGAGTTAAAGTGTCTGGCTACGGAACCAGAGTTTGGGAGTTTGATTCCCCTACTATGCATCGCAGTAGTGCGTGTGGCCTTAGGCAAGCTGCACAGTCCCACGGCGACCCCAGAAAAAGGGAAGGAGAAACCAGTTCTGAATATTGTATTTGCGAAGGCTTTCACGGCCGGGATCTAATGGTTGTTGTGGGTTTTTCGGGCTCTTTGGTCGTGTTCTGAAGGTTGTTCTTCCTAACGTTTCACCAGTCTCTGTGGCCGGCATCCTCAGAGGACAGCTAGGAAGAACGACCTTCAGAACACGGCCAAAGAGCCTGAAAAACGCACAACAACCAGTTCTGAATATTCTTTACCTAGAAAACCCTGAAAAGGATTGTCAGAAGTCAGAACTCACTTGATGGCGTGCTATTATTATTATTATTATTTAGCTACCAATGAAAGAGAATCCTGTTTTACCTGATCTGACAGCACAGTGGCCCTTTCCACGTCACCTGAAGGAGGATCAGATCTGGAATATATCACTGACTTTCTGTCACTGCCTTTAAAGATGACAAAAGAAGAGAGGGTGGGATATAGAACATTCTTTCTGTATCAGATCCTTCTTTGAAAACACCACCCTGTTTGCTACAGAGCATAATAAAAAAAATGTCATCCAGGTATGTCCTAACCAACTTCCAAATCCACTCCCCTCCAGATATGGTGGAGTTCCAGTTCACAGCACCCCCAGAAAGCTACCAACTGCATGATGGGAAATATAGTGCAATACAGATCTAGTGATTTCACAGGATTTCTGCGTTGTGGAAAGAGAAACCTAGGACTACAAAGATTTATGTAAGTCCAGCTGCTATAAAAGTTTCCAGGAGACCTTAAGATAGTGATTCCCAACCCTGGGTCCCCAGATGTTCTTGGACTACAACTCCCAGAAATCCTGACCAGCATAGCTAGTGGTGAAGGCTTCTGGGAGTTTTAGTCCAAGAACATCTGGGGACCCAAGGTCAAGAACCACTGGTTAAGTGGATTTAAAAAAGACTAGGATTCAGTGGAGCTGGGTTCAAATCTCTGGGAATTTTAGTCCAAGAACATCTGGGGACCCAAGGCTGGGAATCACTGCTTTAAGACCTTGTGCGAAGAGGGACTGTGGTGGCCATCAAGATACATCCACATCTGGGGACCCAAGGTCAAGAACCACTGGTTAAGTGGATTTAAAAAAGACTAGGATTCAGTGGAGCTGGGTTCAAATCTCTGGGAATTTTAGTCCCAACATCTGGGAATGACTGCTTTAAGACATTGTGCGAACAGGGACTGTGCTGACCATCAAGATACATCAGGGCAGGGTTTCACTTCACTGGGGCTTACGGCATTTTTTAGGTAGGGCTTATATTACGAGCATCCTGAAAAATCCTAGTAGGACTTATTTTCAGGTTAGGACTTATTTTAGAGGAAACAGGGTGCTACATAGCAAAGCACTTACCTGCCTCTAGCTTGGGGGTAAACGGCTCTTCTCCTTCTTCCCACCAGGCAAAGAGTCCAGGCTGAGAAATCAGAAGTCCTTCTTCGAGGGAAAAGGAACAGAGCGTAAAGATGGAAAGCTAATATCCAGTTAGGTCTTATTTTAGGGGAAACAGGGTGCTACATATGAAAGCACTTACCTGTCTCTAGCACGGGGGTAAACGGCTCTACTCCTTCTTCCCACCAGGCAAAGCCAGGCTGAGAAATCAGAAGTCCTTCTTCGAGGGAAAAGAAAAAGGAACAGAGTGTAAAGATGGAAAACTAATATCCGTATGACTTAACTTGCATTACCAAAGAATAATGCTATTAAACTAATAAGCTGGGCATTTGGCCTCCAGGCTCCATTTGATGAATTCTCAACCTGAACCAACAAGCGCAGCAGAACTTATGAAAGTTTTGAGAACTGATAAGTTGGTACTCCCCCCCCCCAGTGCATTATATATTTCTATCAAATACTGGTGTCAAATACTGGTGTCCTTTTCTTGGGCTTATGGGGGAAGGAAATCCCTTCCTTATTTAGTAAAGATCTGGACAATAGCTCAAAAATTAAGGTTTTGCCCACTCCTTGAAAGCCAACAGGAGGAAGTTCGGCTGAGCAAGTTCTTGTAATAAGCTGGGCATTTGGCCTCCAGGCTCCATTTGATGAATTCTCAACCTGAACCAACAAGCGCAGCAGAACTTATGAAAGTTTTGAGAACTGATAAGTTGGTACTCCCCCCCCAGTGCATTATATAAAAATTAAGGTTTTGCCCACCCCTTGAAAGCCAACAGGAGATAGTTCGGCTGAGCAGCTTCTCCATCCTGAAGGGAGAATGTTGTGGGTGCTCTGTTTCTAAATGGCCTCCTCTTTGACTCTTACCAGAAATCAATAAATAACTGTAACCTTCCTTTGTTCTTTACAAATTAGAGGTTTTCCCCCCTCAAATGGGATACAATAGGACTGCAGTTTCCTCTGGTGATAAATTCCAAGCCCCCATAGGACACTGAAAATTATGGAAATAGCAAACACTATGCAGTAGGTTTCCTATATCTGCTGAGGATTGGCTCCATGCCCCTGTTACTGAAAACTGTGGATAATAGTGAACTCTCTCTCTCGCTCTTTCATATGTATTCTTCACTAGCAAGTATTCATAGCACAGTTTCTGGATCCATCTCGTGGCCTGTTATGGTGATACATATGAAAAGTTTTTTTTCTGGATATTTTAATATTTTTAATATTTTCAGACCATGGGTAAGTGAAACTGTGGATACTGATTCTGCAGATACTGGGGTCCTGCTGTACACAGCATTGTCTCTCACTTCCTCTATTGGCTAGTTCTGGTAAACTGCTGTGGTTTTTTATTTAATATTTTCAGGCAGGAGATAAGTGAATCCGTAGATGCTGATCCACGGATATGGGGGTGGTCCTACTGAAACCCATTGCAAGTACAAAGGACTTTAAGCTACAAAATACAAAACTGCTGAGCTATCTAGCAGTTCTAAAATTATTATTATCATTATAAATTAGCTGTAATAAACCTTGGGAACTTATACGGTTCTTCAGGTACACATACAATATCTCAACAGGATTTTGACCAGTAATCCTCTATGTATAGAAAAACATTCTAAATTAAATAAAGCAGAGATTAAGTACGGTGTAGTGGCCAAAATGTTGAATCCAAGAGGCTTGGGTTCAAATTTCTACGTGGCTATGGCCCTTGCTGGGTGTCCTTGGGCCTGTCATACACTTTCTTAGCTGGACAACCGTAAATCCCTTCCACACTCATGTTCCCTGGAGGAAAAAGGGGAGGGAGTTATCTATGTATGAAGACGGATAAATAAAAAAATGGCAATTTCAGAGTATTCTAGAATCAAGAAATGATGAGAAAATGATATAGCACAGAATAAGATTGAAGGCATTTAAGAGCTGTGAGGTAACCAGGGCAGTAAAGAGAGAATAATTTCTGACAGCTATCAGTCAAAGGAAGAGAACTCTTTTACCCAGAGCTGCTACCATCTCGTAATTTTCCAGCATGACTTCCTGGTAAAGGGCCCTTTGGCCCCGATCCAGCAGAGCCCACTCATCCTCCGTGAAAGGGATCTCCACCTCCTCAAAAGTCATAGGGACCTGAAAAAAAGGGGAAAGGTGTTGAACCGATGGTGGTCAATTCCTTTTCTATGAATGAACAGAAGCAGCTCTTATTTGGGAGGGCTTTCCCGTCTGCTCTAGTAGGCAAGGCAGTGGGGCACCCCATGGGGAATCCAGGGAGGTATTCATCAGAGACACCCCCTGTCGTGATAATGGTTTATGTGGTTTAGATCTTCTGCTGAAGATGGGATATGTAGTAATGAACAATGTAAAGTGAATTCCATTTTGGTTCCCTAGCCATTTGGTTCTCCTGTAAGGCACCCACCTTTCCTTCCCCCACCCCCGCCCTGGGGGGATACCCCTCTTTCCACAGGGCCCCCACTTTTCTCCTGCCAGGCCCTCACCTCTTTCAGTGGGGTCTCCTGGAAGGCAGGGATCTCTTCTGGCAGGCTGCCCGGGTCCCCCTGCAGAAGAGCATCGCTTGGCAAATCCCGCAGGGTCTTCCTCCGCTCCGCCAGGGTGCCGGCCTCTTCCAGGGGGAGACGCCGTGCAACCCCCACCTTCTCCAGGGCTACCATCTCCTTCATCAGCGGGACCTCTGCCGGGGCACCCCTCTTCTCTGGGAGACCCTCCAAAGCGGGGCCCTTCTTTCCATGGGTGCCCAGCTCTTCCACCAAGACATTTTGAGGGGCATCCACGTCCGGCGTGCGGGGACCCCGGGCAGCCACCTTCTCCTCCGGGGTTCCCGTCTTCTCGGTCGGGACCCCCCTCTCGTCCTGCGGCGGGGCGTCCCACAGGAAACCCCAAGGGGCAGCCGTCAAGCTGCCCACCGCCTCTGCCAATGCGAACGGCTCCTCCTTAGGGGCTCTGCCAGGGAGGGCCTGGCCTGGCCCAGCGGCCTCCTCAGGCAAGGCACCCCCAAAGGGCTGCTGCCAGGGGAGGCCCGCCTCCTCCGTGCCAGGCCGGGCAACCCTTGGGGCGCCCCCCTGCAGCCATGGGGCCTCCTCCTCCTCCTCCTCCTCCCTCAAAGGGGCCTGGCCCGCTCCCTCATGGGGCGAGTCCCGGGCGGCCCCTTCCTCCTCGGGCGCCCCGGGACCCGCCGGGGCCAAGCCCGGGAGGCAGCAGTGGCCGCAGGGCAGCCGGACGGGCCTCAGGGAGCCGCCTCCTC